AATGCTTAGACATACACTTGTTTTCCAAGTTCTTAGTAGTTTATTGTTGAATTTAAAGTAAAAATCAAATAGTAGGAGATATGAAGGTAGTTCATGTATGGAAAACAAGGTTATTTACGTGTAACCTCAGGAGAGTTCAGACGCTTCTGGAAGGTAAGATAAATTGTGTATTACAATTAGAAAGTTGTTTAATCAGATAAACAAGAATACAAATTATCATTTAGGAAGCTTTTAAAGAACATTAATTTGTCAAAGATTTTTCAGCTTTTATTAGCTTTGTATACCATTTCAAAGAAATTGTTGAGAGCTCCTAGCAGTTATATTTTTTTGGTGTTTTCTTTGACAGAAATGTCTAATTTCAAATTATTGCTCTCAAATGCCATGGTATGGCCAATGGTGGAGAAAGTTACTTCTCCCTCTCCAAAATGCTCTTACATGACCATGTGTATACAGCCATTGTTAGGAAGTCGTGCTTACTGCCTTTTTGTTTTGCTTACGTAAATGAGAGGATGAAAAGCGAATGTCCGGTGCTTTAAACGAGTTGGTAGATATGCAGTTCCATCTATGGTAGTTGGAAATCCTGATTCCAAACTAATGTACACATGGACTCTAGGACCCTAAGAGAACAAATGAATGCATGAACCTATTGTTTGGCACCGGTTTCATGGGACTTCATATCTTTATGTTGTTCCACTGCCTTGTGGATTAGACCTTTAGGTTGAGGCCCTCCAAGTGTGTCTCCTAAAAAAACAGACAAGCAGTATCACAACCCACACACAATCGACTGACTTTGTGGACCTATATGTATTCGATGTCTCTTTATACCAAATATTTATATGTTCAAATAAAAAAATTTCAACATTAATTATTTATACAATCAATGCATTTCTAAAAGAAGTGAGTAGGCAGTGAGTAGTAGTAAGTAAGTAAGTAGGTAGGTAGAGTAGGTAAGTAAGCAAGTAATTAGGTAAGTGAGTAAGTAGGTGGTGGGTAGGTAGGTAACTGGGTAAGCGGGTAGGTAAGTAGGTAAGTGAGTAAGTAAGTAGGTAGATAGGTTGGTAAGTAAGCAAAGTAAAGTAAAGTGAAGTAAATAACTCACCTATATGATCGATTAGATCGTTTAGGACTTGTTGATAATTTACGTCGTGCTATTATTATTTGTCGTTTATTGAACTGCGGTATTTCTTCATTATTTATTTGAATTTTTAATTTTTTAGCTTTTGGTGATAAATTTGTTAAATAATAATTAGATGATTGAGTGATACATTTTTTGGAATTTGATCCTTGATTTAAATCCATTTCATCTGATCTCATAATGATTGATTGTAATGTAGGTTTATATAAAATTGTTGTTGGTTTGTTCTCATTCATAGATGATTCTTGTTTGATAACTTCTGATGAATGATTCAATGGGTGAATAGAATAAGTTTCATTTGGATCTATGGATAAATAACCAGAATCTTGTGTTGAATTCATACTTAATTTAGGTGGATGTGATGAATTTGATTGAATATTCATTTTATTATGATTGATTTGATTTGATGAACTAACTGATTGTGATAATTTACAGGTTTGTATTGATTGTACTTTTTTTTCTTTTTCTTTTTTCTTTTCGTTTCCGTCGTCGCTGTCGTCATCGTCATCGTGTTCTTCTTCTTCTTCTTCGATTTGTTGTTGTTTTAAATTTGATTGTAATTGATTAACGGATGATATTTCATGATTATTTTGTTTATTCATGAATTCATTCGATAATAAACTAGGTTTTGATATATGAGTTAATAAAATAGAAGTATGATTAGGTAGAGTAGGGGATAAATGGATTGAAGATGATGTTTTTTTAATATGTTGATTAAGAAATAAAGTATATCCTTCAGAAGTATACGATTTTGTATAAGAAGTTAAATGATTCAAAGACTGTTGATACTGCTGTCGATGTGATGATATATTAACCTGTTAAAAATAGATAATAAAAAGGTTATAGAAATTATTAAATTTTCATCGTTTACATCTCCTGGTGATCGAATGAATCATGAAGATGTCAACATCTGGGCGAGGGGAGAAGCGTGGGATGCAGTGAACAGTTAAGATGCATTATAAGCAAAGATAAATAGTGGATAGCAGTGGAATACAGAACGCGCGTTTCGTCCTGTTTGGGGCTCGTCAGCTGGATGTACCTGCATCTAAGAGTTGATGTTCACTCTGATTAGACTGATCAATTTCAGTCTTAAAACATCAGTGGGAAGATTCAAGTAAAACAATACCAAGTGGGTTAGGATGCAGCTCGACAATCTAGACTTCGCAGATGATCTGACTCTTTCATCGCACACGCAAAAACAATTTACAACAGAAGACGATCAGTGTAGTAGGAGCCACAGCAGTAGTAGGTCTTTATTTTTACAGTGATAGGGATATTAAATCCCCAGAAAATACTCGATAAGAGTTTTTATTTTTGTAATTTTATTTTACACTGCTGAGGAGTACCATGTTAAGACAAAACGGCCGTCCAGTGCTTTCAGGTATTCCATGGTGATACAGCTTCAAATGACTCGATTTCAATCAGTGAAATTTTGGATTTCTCATTTTTGTGTCAAAATTGCCCATTTTCACCTTCAGATTGTATTTCCCACTTAGAAGGACCTTAAATATCATTGATTGATTTCCTTTTTTAATACGCTATTTTATGACCTTTCCCAAGGACATTTTCATACTGCATATATACACTTGAGTTGTGTGGTTGTTCGTTTGTGCTTCCTACTGTTTGTGAAATATACTTTCTCCTCGGCTAGATTTGTCTCATTCCTTCAGCTAGCAGACCTGAATCGTATTGGAATAGTTTAGCTTGTCCTATTTTTGTGTTGCCGACTTTGTTCATTTCACCGGTTTAAGTGATATCTAAATCTCATTAATTGTAGAACAATGATATATCGAGTGTTGAAAATGATGAATATATTAACAATTGGACTGAATATTTGTGATAAGCTAAGCAAGATAGACTAGACCATATGCCGTTACAAACTTGGATGATAAGATAGAAATGTAACAATGAGTGGATTACTATAGGTGAGTGAATTATCCATCTAGGCGGTTATAAATACAAAATAGTTGAGTAAATCACTATTCAACTTTCAACAATAAGGATTTTTGATGAGTAATAGTTATTTCTTTTTCCATAGTAAACTGGTTAAGTATTTGGATGTATTCATTTATAACTGAATCAGATCATCCAACAAAACAATGTATCGCTCAGTTTTGAGAATCAACGGAAGTCAAAAATTAATATGGGGTTGTAGAGATGATTAAACGTTTGATTGAGATTATGATCCTGTAAGTAGAATCGTGAATGCACACTGTTGAGGATTCCTACAATAGGCTAACAACGGTCATCTAGTACTTCTAGGTTTTTAATGATGGTCTAACATCCATCGATTCATGATCTCAATCAGAAGTCGAATATATTCTAAAAATGACCATATTCTATGCATTAAACTAAACTATTTTAAATAAACAATCATTACTTACCATATTATTCATATAAGGATCTATTGATGTTTTACATATATCTATAATATCACCAGTGGATGAACTCATTTGTTTTGTTAACATTTCATTATTTCTTTCTATTGGTATAGTTTTTTGTTCTACATCTTCATTAGAAACTTCTTTTAATGGTGATATTGTTCTATCACTAGGGGAATAACTTTGTGTGATACCTTTAACATTTAATGATGTTTCATTCATGAATGTTTTATGAGGTGCAGAAAATGGACGAATAAATTCATCAGTTATTGTTATCGTTGTTGTTGTTCCGGTTGTTGTTGTCGTCGTTAATGATGATGATGGTGGTGGTGACACTATAATATTCAGTAATTCATTACTCTTTGTTATCGGTTGTTTTGCAGATCGATGTAAATGTGGATTATTCAAATTTGCAAAACATTCAAATATATCCATAGATGTTTCATCTACATGATCCATTGAATTTGGTGTAGAGTCACGTGATAAGAATTTTCGAAAGAATTTACGTCTTTTTTGTGAATGTTGTTGTTGTCGTTGTTGTTGTTGTTTTAACTCTTGTATATTGGTTAATGAATGTGTAGAAGGTTTAATCATTTGATATGATTGTAATTGTTGTGGATATTGTCGTTGTAAACGATCATGAATAAAGGGTTGATTTGTTGGACTATTCACTAAATGGGATGTCATATCTTCTATTTTTAATGTTGGGGAAGATGAATAAGATTGATTCATTGGTAAATTTGAAGAAGTTGATAAATGATCCATAGAACTATTGGATAAATATAATCTTGAAGATTTTATTTCATTGAGAGGATTATGAATATTGATTTCATATTGACACCTTTTTCTCCATTCAATTCCTTGTTTTTGGTTTTCACAAAAGTATAATCAAATATATATAACATTGATACATATGACAAGCATGAAAAAAATAATGAGATAGGTTAGTAATCATGTTCTTCATCAACTGAGATGGTTGAGCCACGTGTTACATATACCTGAACACCGATTACCACGACACACAATTCTGACTATTGTTGGAGATGGTTAGAAGAAAGTTTGAGGCAGCCAAACTAAAATGCTTGAAGTCACAAACTTCTAGTCTGAGCCATGTTGATAAATACAGACTACTTGGTTGGAGTCCATGTGACTATTGTAACCAATGGTTGGAGACTCTGAGTGATACGGCTCAGAATCGACCACAATGGAGTAAGTGTATACAATCTCTATCTCCTCTTAAACTGTGAGATTGAAATTGCTTTATATCTTTCTTTCCACGAACTAATTCTTTCTTTCTGTAATATATCCTTATATTCAATCTTTCTTTTATACATTACCACCATTGAAGGGACTACTTCTATATATCCGGTGTTCATCTTGTTGTACTAATGAGATATGGTAACTTGAACCGATGCATATATGTTCTTAATCCTACATTGTAGCTGATTGGTTGATTGACAGTGTGTATACGTTTATGTACCTAAACCTTGGCATTTTATCTTCGTACAAGATGTAATGTTTTGAAAAACACTTGTTGTTTACTTATGTGACGCGTTTAAACTCAACTAATTGATCAATTATCAAGAATACCATATGACCAGAACGAGGTATATTGTGACAATACAGAGGCAGATATATATAAGCTATTGTCCAGAAGATACAAGTGTTTATTAAAAGTTGCCTATGCAAAATACTTCGGATCCGTTGGTCAGACGCTATCAGCAACGACCTAATATAGGAGGGAACAAACCAGATTCTAGCAGACGAAGAAATCAGGAAGAAACACTGGTAGTGAATAGGACACACATTGAGAAAGCACTTAATGCATCACAAGGCTAGTCCTCACTTGGAACCCTCAATTCCAAAGGAGAAGAGGAAGACCAAAGAACACACTGCACTGAGAAATGTAGACAGATACGAGAAGATTGAACAACAATTGGATAGAACTAAAAAAGATGGCGGAGGACACAGTTGGTCGAAAAATGCTGGTCGGCGGCCTATACTCTACTGTGAGTAACAGGCGTAAGTAAGTAATAAATATATAACATTATAAATACTAACATATCTGTCTGTTTGTACTCAGTAACCAATCACGGCTTATTTCCCACCAGAGATCCATCAAAATTCTACTGACCAGCTGTTTAGACGATATATCTGGTGGGAGATTTGAAATCAATGAGTAAGTGGTCGCAAGTCAAATGCTTCAAACATGAAGTCCTAGATCCGCAGTAGAATAGTGCCGACAACTTGAATGATAAAGAATATTTTAATCTTATGTAAGGATATGATTCTGAAGGTGTAGGGTTCTATAATAATTTATCTAACATAATGCCCCCAAATGTCCTGGTATGGTCGAGAGTGAGGAGAGTCCGCTCTTTCTCTCGAAATGATCTCACACAGCCACGCGTATACAGCCTCTGCCAGGGAAGTCCTACTCATTGCCTTCTCGTGGCAGGGGTGTTGTTTACGAAAATTAGAGGACGAAAAGCGAATGTCCGGCACTTTAACCGGATCCTGAACCAATGGTGCACATGGGCTCCAGTATCCTGCGGGAACAAATGGCGCATGAACCAATTGTTGGTCACCGGCTAACATATGATTGCATCTCCTTACGATGCTCTACTGCCTTGTGGATCAGACCTTTAGGTCAAAGGCTCGGGGTGTGGCCTCCTAAGAAAACCACCTGCTTCGGTCTGGGCACCCGGGCAGTATCACAGCCCACACACAAATATAATGATAATGAAAATGTGTGGCGCATACATATTTGGTGCCCTCTTGTACCAATATTTATGTGTTCAAATAAATAAATCTGTAACATAATATATGGTAATATAAATAATAATTTAATATTATGCAATAATTTCTATTTATATGATAGAATTCATAGTTTACCTGGTTGATGAAATTTCGGTTCTAATTGAAATGCTAATTCTCTTGCTTGATTAGATAAATGCAATGCTTTTTGTATCATAGACATGGCTAAATCAGCTGCTTTACGTGCTTTCAATGCACTAAAACACAAATAAATTTAGTAAAACAATAATAAGAATAAGACATAAACATTAGTAAAAGAAGGTATCAAATATAAATATGAGCCACATAAATCATTCGATTTGTGTGAGGGCTGGGATACTGTCAGGGTGCCCAACCCGAAGCCGGTGGTTAACCTAGGGGGCCACACACCGAGACTTTGACCCGAAATTCTGATCCGCAAGGCAGTGGAGCAATGTAAGGAGATGCAATCCCATGATAGTTGGTGACCAACGATTGGTCCATACGTTTTTGGTAGTTTCAGAATTCTGGAGCCTATATGCACCATTAGTTTGGAATCAGGGATTTACAACTCCCCTATGTGGATCTTTCATATCCATTAACATTGTTAAAGCGTCAGACATTCACTCTTCGTTCTCTCAATTTCTTAAACAACAGTAATGCTGCTAGAAGGCAGTGAGTACGACTTCCATGACAATGGCTGTATACGCATTGCCGTGTGAGGGCATTTGGAGAGAGATTTGATCCTCCCTACTCTCTGCCGTACCAGGGCATTTGAGGGCAATGTCCATCAAACGTAACATGCTTGCATTGAATCCTGAAGACTAAAGAATCAAATACAAGCGAGAATGTCGACAAAGATGGAAAGATTCTAAACTATTCTATAATAAATTATTTAGTTCATGATATCTTTACATTAGATTTTATTCAATTCATTGACTATTAGCATATATGTTTAACTATTCTTATATTTTGTTGGGGATGTTAGATCCCTAGAACTCACTTAGTAAATGTCTTATTTTTGTTATTCTATTTAAAAAATTTGTATTTCTTGTTTTCGCACCAAAAACACCCTTTTTTCTCTTTCATATCGTATTACCCACATACTTACGCCTGTTACTCCTTATGGAGCATAGGCCGCCGACTACCATTCTCCAATCCAATCTGTCCTCCGCCTTCTTAATTAGTTCCATCCAATTCTTGTTCATTTTTCTCATGTCTATCTCCATTTCCCGGCGTACTGTGTTCTCTGGCCTTCCTATCCTCCTTTGGCCTTGAGGATTCCATATGAGGGCTTGACTTGTGACGCAATTCGGTACTTTCCTCAATATGTGTCCTATCCACTTCCAGCGCTTCTTCCTGATCTCTTCCTCCACTGGGATCTGGTTTGTTTTTTCCCGCAGTTCGTTGTTGATTATAGTGTTTGGCCAACGGATCCGAAGTATTTTACGCAGACGACTGTTAATAAACACTTGTATCTTCTAGATGATGGCTTTCGTAGTTCTCCAGGTTTCCACCCTATACAGTAGAACTGTCTTCATATTTGTATTGAAAATCCTGACCTTGATGTTGGTTGACAGTTGTTTTGAGTTCCAGATGTTCCTCAATTATAAATATGCTGCTCTTGCTTTACCGATCCGCGCCTTCACTTCTGCATCAGATCCACCCACTTTAAAGGATCATAAATGCTGTTGGTTTGCTGTCTCTTTTAATATGATATTGTGTAATGTTTCTCAATGACATTTTTGTGTTGTATATATACACTTGAGCTGTGCTTATTGTGGTTGTTGTTCATGATTCTGACTGCTTGTGCAATATATTTCCCTCTTCCGAACTTAAAGTTCTCCCTCTAGTTTTCGGAGATTACCATTTGAATTTCTCTTAAGCCGACTCTTCTATGCATTTTAAAGAGGTTTCTGTTGAACTGAAGTGACAAAAATTACCTAGATATTTCAAGATTGAGCTTTCGATTGACTTCTGTGATCTTTTAGAAGGCTAAGAAGAATAGTGATCAGCGATGTTTTTTATCGCTGTGTATTCATGTCGATACTGTCTGTGAAATAAGTGATTGATGTAAATTCACTAGAGCGCGATGATCAGTCGTTTATCGATTTATTCCCGAAAGATATTTGTAACAGAATATTCTGGAAAGATTTCTGTGAGGACGGCTGAAAGGCAAACTCGAGGAAGCTCTAAGAAGCTCAGAAAGAGCCGAAGACACTCCATCCAATCATCTTTTAGAAGAATATTCCAGAATCCTTGCGTGTAGATTCCCTATTGGACAAATGCTAATAACCCCCTGTACGTGAATTGAATGTCTATAATGATGATTACGTTTTTACCAAAAACTATAAATACCTGACATTGTTTGAAGTAGCATTTTTTCACTTGTCTTCTGTCTTCTTACATGCAACTTGGAGGGTTCTGGCGTCCTAGTGCTCAAGTTATACGCGGTGTATTAAGAATCTAAGCTCTAAATATAACAATTTCTTGTTCGATAAAGTTTTATTCAGAAATCAATTTTCAAGTAAGATTGACGTTAACTCCAAAAAAAATTGTGTCTTTTACTATTATTCTCATTAAAACTTGAGTTCATGAATGATCATATACCCATTTCTTCATGTTCCCAATATGTAACGTTCTCAAGAGAAAGCAATACTGGAAAGACATAAAGGGGATATAAATGTCAAATAATTCAAAAGTTCAAGAACTTTACTTATGAGAATTGTTGTGACTTTATGTCCGGCTTTTTATCACGTGATTTATCCACCAATCAAAATACGACTTACACAATCTTAGCACTGTGCCAAAACCAATGACGTTCGACCGGTATGAGCAGCCTAACGTCCTTATTGGTCTTATATCATCCTAGCCCGTCCACTTCAGTCCAGAACACCAATAGCAGCTTCCACTATGCCAATCGAATCGAATCATTTATTTCAGATATACTGGGTTTATGTACCAAACAAACAGACAGCAACGCACCATAAATGGGGAATAACATTTGTAGACAATAATGACAAAAAGTGACTGTGAACGTGGGAGGAAGTAGTTAATAAACTGAACATAGCTTAAGAGCAGTAAATAGTACAATAATAATATATAGGTCAAAATAAAGCTTATAACAGAGGGAATATAGGTATACATCATCTAGTTACCGAATATGTTCACCATGAGAATATATAAATAATAATAGTTCATTAATAAGTCTCAGACGTTACTCGTAATGTAATCTTCACTAGGATATAACAAAAATATTTTAGTATAGTTTAAACAAATTTCCTGAGTCCGAATCTTGCGCACTGCTAAGGAGTCCCAAAATAGGATGGAACGACCGTCCAGTGCTTCCAGGCTTTCTATGGTGGTCCAGCTTCAATTAACTCATGATCTCAACTATTGCAATTACTACAATATCCACAAAACCCCTTCTCATAATACTCAACATATGATCACTAGTGACTGGCTTCAAGAGGTATTTCTTGGAGTTCTAGTAAGAATCAGTCACCTGTGGAGTTCAACTGAGTCTGTTGTGAGATAGTAACTCACTGATGACAATAGTGGATGTGTCGCTCAATTTCGTGGATTAGTTGAAGTTAGATATTAACACCATTGGATGCTGATCGGCTCAGTTGTCTAGAGGAATCCCACAATACAATGAAACGACCTTCCGATGCTTTCAAGTTTTCCATGATGATCTAGTTTCAATTGACTGATAATCTTAACCCCATCTTATATAAACAAATCATCATATACTACTTATTAAATAAACTACTTACTTTTCTTTTGCTTCTTCTAATGCTATTAATTTAGCTTGTTTTGCTGCAGTTTCAGCACGTATTAATGCATATTCAACACATTCTTTTAATTTTGTTTGACGTACTAAATGTAATTTATTTTTACGATTAATTTTATTAATTAAATTATTGGCTTGAAATTGTCCTTCATCACGTGTACCATTTGGATTAATCAATATACCATAACCATGTTTTTGATTACGTATCCATTCACCAATATATATTAAACCATTGGAACGTTCTGATATACCATAACCTGAACGTTGATCTTGAAACCATTCACCAGAATATATTTCTATTACACTAATGTATTGATTATCATTATTATTATTATTATTATTATTATTATTATTACTTGATTGAAAATTAATAATATAATCAATATTTTTTTGTATTTTTTCTTTATTTGCTGTATTATTTCCGTGTGTATCATTTAGATTACCTAATGGATTATTAATAGTAGTACTAGTAGTAGTAGTATTGTTATTAGTAGTAGTAGTAGTGGTAGGAGTAGTATTGCTATTAGTAGTATTAGTAGTAGTAGTGGTAGGAGTAGTATTGTTATCAGTAGTATTAGTAGTAGTAGTGGTAGGAGTAGCATTAGTACAATTTATTGAACGACCTAATTCAATAGCTGAATGTTGTTTTTTTAATCGACGCATAATTGCTCTACCAATTACAGCTTTACGACTTACGGATAGAGTTTCTTTTAATGGTAAATTTATATTAGAACTATGATGTTTATCATTAGATTTAAGAGATTGATTAATGATATGAATGTTTTTCATTTGATCTAATTCATTTAGATATTCTGTTTTTGTAATTGGTATCTTTGTTCTTGTTGTTGTGGTGGTGGTGGTGGTAACAGGAGTAGTAGTAGTAGTTATTGTTTCAGTGTTTATAGTAGTATTCGGTAAATTATCTGATAATGTATTAGTTTTATAACTAATAAATGATTTACGAACACCTAAACCATGACGAAATCCTTTCGACCAAGCACCAGCATATATACCTATAATAGAGAAAAGAATTTAAAAAGACATTAGGAAAATAAACAAACAAAAGAAATTTATCTGGAAAAAGAAAGAAAATAGATAAATCAGTGTCAGAAGGGGGGTTTTATGGAGATTTTAGTAATCTTATAGTTAAATTCATGATTTAATTAGAGGCAGATCACTATGGAAAACCTGGAAGCACTGGACGGCCGTTTCGTCTTAGTATGTGACTCTTCAGCAGTAAGCGTCCATGATTCCATCCATGGTATTCAAACTTTCAACTAATTCACGAAGTTGGGCCACCATCCACCATTATCTTCAATAAGTTACTATCTCACTTGTATCTTCCCATTTAATATTTAGGACTGCAATTGATCAGTCTCTTATTAGCATCTGTACATCCTGTGCGGATTTCCTTGATATAGCCCTAAGTCACAAGCTTTTTAAGCAAATATGGATAGTGGCTAGCAGTGGAATCCAGAACGCGCACTTTGTTCTGTTTGGGACTCGTCAGCTAGATGTAGTTAGATGCCAAAGCTGATGTTCACTCTGGGATTCGAACCAAGTACTGTTAGCTTCGAACGCCATTCCGTTATCCATCAAGTCCCGGAGTGAACATCAACTCTAAAATGCAGGTACATCCGGTCGACGAGTTCTGAATACGACGAAACGCGCATCTTGGATTTCACTGCCATCCACCATCCATTTTTGCTTATAAGTATAATTCGTCAAAAATTAAAATAAGCTGAAGAATCGACATAATCAAAGAAACATTGGACAGTTGTTTTATTCTGATATGGAATTCTCTATTCATTCATATCAGCAACTTCACATTGATTCGAATCCATAGCATTCATTCCTGATGGCAAGTTCGTTATCTTTAGACCATTAAATTGTAACTAGTGAAGTACATTTATATCAGGAGTGTGATGTTTAGCTATCAATCGAATAGGATGACTTTCTAACTAAATCACAATTTTTTTGAAGCCGGAATTACTGGTAAGAAAGCTGATAAGACAATTTATATTATTTATTAATATCTCTCATTTTAAGTTTATTTTTCAAATTATTACAATTGTGGTATGTGCTTCTGATATCCAACGGTGTTAATGTCTAACCTCAACCTATCCACGAAATCGCGCGGCCATCTTCCATTGTACTGGAGTTGATATCTGTATCTACCCGACACGGATTAGCTCCACTGGTCATAACTTCTCACTAGAACTCCGAAAATTCCCTCACGAAGTTAATCATTAGTGAGCACATGGTAATTATCAATTAGCATAGGGTTGTGGAGTTTATTAAGTTTTTGTTTGAGATCATGAACCGATTGATGTTAGACCATCACTGAAAGCCTAGAAGTACTGGTCGATCGTTTCGTCCTGTTTTGGGACTCCTCAGCAGTGGGCATCCACGATCTCGCTCGCGGGATTCGAACCCCAGCCCTTCGATCTCACGCGTGAACGCTTAACCTACTGGACCCCTGAGCCGGCTTCCAATGGTGATAGTGTCTAACATTAACCAATCTATGAAATTGCGCGACCATCTTAAAAACTTAATAATCTCCACAACCCCTATACTATTAAAAATATTTTTCTCCATTAGCGACAAATAAAGCGGTCTAAGGTTCCATACCTATTAACCGCCAATCAAATTCAAGGTGAAAAGTTGACTTAGATTCAAATTTTTCAATGTTCATATGTTATGCAAGAAAAATCATGATTGATCTTTTGAATAACATTCCTTTCTTTTTCTTTTGAAACAAAAACATTTTGGTGCTTATTTATTATTTTTCAATTGCACAATAATCTTAGTTTATAATATGAATCGATTTCGAATTCATCATCAGTGTTCATTTATGAGCTTAACAACAATCGACCATAGGACCTTCAAGTCTGGTGATAGGAATGTAATCCTTAGAGATCACTGAGTTGGTGTTCAATGGTTTACATGTTAAAGTTTCCAGTAATTTGTGATATTCTTTTTATTCTCCGATGTCATTCAATCAGATGCATATATGCCTACTTCTTATGTTCAAGTTAAACTTTAATCGTGAATTACAAGACGCGCAATGAATAGGAAGCTGTAACTATCAATCATAGCCTATTATATATAACACATCAATACATTCATATTCCTCTCTCTTGAATATAAAGTCTAAGACCTTAACAAAATATATAATTAGCTTCATATAATAGTGTGCATCACTGTAACCTCTCACTTAACCCTTTGCCTTAAGACAATTTATGACTATAAGTACCATTATGTAAATTAGACCTAAGTCATTATGGTTTTTTTTATCAAGTTGCAACTAAGCCTAGTGATTTCTTATAACGTACTTAGTGTTAATTGGTGATTGTCAACAAATTGTCCCAGTAATTTCAAAGAAACTGATTGTGTATTTCTAGTTTGTGAAGATTTGTAGCTCAAATGGATGATCTTGGTGGAGTTTTGTTCTCTGAGCTGGATGGTTTGGTGATAGAGCTTTCATAATTCTTCTGAACAACATGATCAGCACAAACGTCTACCTAAAGTTTGTGCTGATGTTCTTTCTCAGAAGAATGATAGTGTATTGAAATACAACTCATCTAGTTAGTTATTGTGAGGTATTAGAACTAAGCTATTAAAACTGCGACTGACCTCCTTTAAGATAGATATACTGATGGATTACTGAGTATTAAAAATATCATCTTTATCTAGATTTTTCATTCGAATATAGTTCTATTGGTAAAGTTTCAGCGTGGCCACGAGTCTAAGTGACTCGAGATTGCGTAAACTATGCCTGAATATTAAATGGTTGGAGATGATCAGTAGGAAATTTTAGATATAGATTTTATCCTAGCTGACACTTATCAGGTAGGCATACGTTCAGTTTTTTTCAGTGAATTGTTACTCCTTAAAGAATTCGAAATCCTTGTCTTCCAATATCATAGTGTTAGTCATGTTATCATTGATCTGTTTGGACAGGTATAATTTCGTTCATGTTTTCAGATATAGTCGTTCCCATAGAGTGTCAACTAATATCAAACTTATATCGAAGAGAATGTTTTAATAATCAAAATGCTTAGCAACCCATTTTTTAATAAATAAACTGACTACTGTGCACATCGAAAAATGATAACATACTTCCATCAGCACATGTTTCAATTCCAAAACCTTCAAATCGATTTACATTCCAACTACCTTCATATTTTGCTCGACTATTTATTGATGTTTTAACTCCATATTGACCAAAAGCACCTGAATTAAATTCACCTTGATAAATCCATTTTCCTCTCACTTGAATACCATCACCATGACGTTTTCCTTTAATCCATGTACCAGCGTACATATTTCCATTTGGCCATAAATATACACCACATGTTTCAAAACCTAAATTCCATTCACCGGAATATTCACCAACACCATTTGGTCCTGTAGCTAAACCAAGTCCATGAGCTGAACCTTGATACCAATTACCAATATATGTACCACCATCATTAAAATCAAAACGTCCACCGTCTGTATTCATTTGATTATAATTTCATATAAATACAATCTATCTATACTTTTGTGTAAATGATATCAACAATTATCCATTTGTATATTATATTATACTTGATTTTGAAGGTCTAAATTCAAAGTTTAATGTTTGGTTTCAAGCATATTCCAAATTGAATCTACAAGCTTAAATAGATATCAAAATGTTTAATCTGAGAATATTGAATATTTAACATTGATTATCAGTTTTACCAATGTCATGGAAAAAAAGAATAGTTTATAGAAAGACGAAGAAATGATGAAGTTTAGACTCCACAACAGTATGTATCGTCGATCTCGCACATGAGACTCGAACTTAGGAGCTTTGGTCTTGTGCACAAATGCTTAACCTCTAGATCACTGAGCCGGTATCCTAAGATGTTGATGTCTAACGTTGGAAACAGATCACAAAGTTTGATTTAGTATTCTCTAGTTGGTTCAATCTTGCGTTATCTAGTTTTTAGACAAGCGATACTACGGATGAATTATTCAATCTCTAAAATGACTGTATGTAAGTGACGATTTGATAGAATTTGATGTTATCCTATCTCATCATACAGTTTCTAAGGAAGAAGAAATATGAATGTTCACCATTTGTTCAATCATATACATCATAATACATACGATTCCATAAGTAACACGAAGACACTTTACCAAGTACTAATCTAAAATATCACTAATATCTAATCTGATTATTTCTCTTAATCGAACCGGTTATGACATACCAATTTTTTTATTTAAAAGACTGAATTATAGATTTCAGTCTATGAATTAAGTATACACAATGTATTTGAATGATTTAAGTTCATTGGAATTAAAACAAAAATACATCATTAATTATAAGAAAAGATGGATAGTAGCTAGCAGTGGAGTCCAGGACATGTGTTTCGTCCTATTTGGGGCTCGCCAGCCGGGTGTAGCTAAATCTCAGAGTTGGAACTTGAACCCAGTACCGTTCGCTACAAACACCATCGCGTTATCAACTTAGCTACTAAGTAAAGTAAGTAAGTTTAGTATTTCAATGTAACGCGATGGTGTTCGGAGCGAACAGTAGTGTACTGAATTCGAGTCCCGGAGTGGTCATTAACTTTGAGACACGGGTACTTCTAACTGATGAGTCCCACAGTAAGACGTAACGGCCGTTCAGTACTTTTAAGTCTTCCGTGATGCTCTAGCTACAATTGACTCATGAATCCAACTAGTAAATTCATAAAATCTCCATTAAAAGCCCTCTCTGATTTTATAAACTATTAAAAAGTTTAACAGATGCTCCTAATTGACATTATTCAATTCAATTAATTTGAAAGATAAAAAAACTGAATGAGAGAATGAAGAAGACATCAAGATAAATAAATGAATGAATGAATAAACATTAAAGTATGGGGGGGGGAATAAGTCATTTCGAAAATTTCACGGGTTGGAATCATGAGCCAACTGAAGCTGGACCACCATGTAAAACCTGGAAGCACTGGATGGCCGTTTCGTCCGAGTATGAGACTCCTCAGTAGTGCGCATCCACGACCTCACCCCCTGAGAGATTCGAGCCCAGGACTTACTGGTTTCCATGGTGGTCTAGTTTCAATCGACTCATGATTTCAATCCGTGAAATTTCTAAAATCCCCACAAAACCCCTACTGATTTCGAAAATGTTTAATTAACAGTTAGAGTTTAGTTTAACTATCAGTGATTATCTCTCTGTAAATTTGTTTTTGAGGAATTTTTCTACATAAAGTACTAATTAAATTTTAAAAAAGAAGGAAATTAAATTATCAAGATATGTGATGACCTTGACGTAAAATTGGATTCTAAAAGTATAATGTTACTCTTAAAAAGTGTATCATCGGCGAAACTCTAACTTATGGACGAGCCAATCAGAAGCGTTTTAGAGATTTCAAGGTTATGGCGCTAACTTCAGTGCCTAGTGCTAACGTACGGTCGTGGCCACAGTACGTAACACGAAAGCCTTTCATGCCTTTGCCTAAATAAATTTCTGGCATTACAGCTCATGTCAGTTCGTGATAGAAACCCCATATATAATTCCTAACTACGGCAAATTATGATAATTATCGCTGACTGGATAATAAAAGCACCAGTAACACTGGCTGCAGCCAGGTACTACAATATATACGGGTGTTTGGAGAGCGTACAGACTCCTACATAGGCTTGGTCATGTGCATCGTGTCATTATCCATAAGTGGCATTTTGTGCACTTAACAACCGGACTGTACATAAACAATATTGTAACTATGTGGTCGAGGCTGAAAGAGTTTTTGAGACTCTATCATGAGTCCAGATGACGACTATTCTGTAGCAATATGGATGATTTTGTCTACTGCATGCATTACAATATTCGAATCTCTGAACCTTTTTCTAACCTTGGAATGTTTTTGAACTACGTATAAGAAGTGTATCCACTTTATTTCCTTGGTTTTGTATAATATATTTTTACTCTATACTGACTGTTTGCTGATTCTCTAACATTTCTCAAGGTCGATTAAGATTCGTTCGAATGCCGTCCATAAATTAGAGTCTCGCCGTATCATCTTGAATAATAGATACCTATTTAAGCGTTTTATATTCACTTTAAGACATAAACTCACTAATCATAATTATTTGTCGAATAGGTGCATTGGTAAGAAGCCTTCACTCACCCCCACCCCCTCCCACAAAAATCGCTGTCTAAATGGAGAAACAAAAGTTCATAAGCAAAGATGGATAGTGGCTAGCAGTGGAATCCAGGACGCACGTTTCGTCCTGTTTGAGACTCGTCAGCTGGATGTACCTGCATCTCAGAGTTGATGTTCACTCTGGGACTCGAACTCAGTACCGTTCGCTTCAAACGCCATCGCGTTATCCACTTAGCTACTGAGTCCTGACAGCCACTAAGTGCCTATAATGCTTGTAAATTAATGCTTGTGACTTAAGGCTATATCGAGGCAACGCGCATAGGATGCACATATGTCAATAAGAGACTGATCGATTGTGGTCCTAAAGATTAATGGAATGATACAAGTAAAGCAACACCAAGTAAATCTACTGTTATCTACTTGTCAATGATAGTCTATTTAAAGTTACTCCTTAATGCAAACTATCTTAGAAATGAACATTTCAAAAAGCAGAAGGGATTTTGTAGATATTATAATAATTTCAATGGTTGGAATCATGAATCAATTGAAGGTAGACAACCAAGGAAAACCTCGAAGCCACTGAACGACCGTTTCGTCGTATTGTAGTTCCTGGGTTCAAATCTCACAAGGAGGGATCGTGGATGCCCACTGTTGAGTTAACTCATGATCCCAAACATTTAGATTTCAAAAATCGATAAAAGATATTATCATTGTTATAATTACACAATTTCTCACCATAATTGTACATTTAAAAATATCAATAATCAATCATATTGATGATTATTACAAACATCTTAAGATAATTTAATTTTACAAATTGAAATCATGAGTCAGTTGAAGCCAGACCACCATGGAAAACTCGGAAACACTGGACGGCCGTTTCTTCCTAGTATGGGACTCCTCAGTGGCAATGCACATCCACGATCCCGCACCCCGCGTGACTCGAATCCAGGACCTATCAATCTCGCACAAAGCGCTTAACCAACTAGACCACTGAGCTGGCCGGCATCCAATGGTGTTAATGTCTAACTTCAACCAATCCATGAAATTGACTCATGATTTCAATCTGTGAAATTTCTAAACTCTCCACAAACTCCTTCTGATAATAATTTAATTTATCTTATTACCATGTGAATGATCAAAAAGGCAAAAAAATATTCGATATATTTATGCTAAGTATAGTTATTTACATTGATGTATATATGTGAGTTGCTATGTAGATATGTGTATCTGAAAGGATTGACATAATAATAATGATAATAATAATAATAATTATAAGCCAGAACAAATTTGCTTCATTTGATGAGTAATTTTCATATATATATTCTTTTTTTATTACATAATCAATGTGATAGAAGAGTTTTTGTTATGGATAGAAAAACTAAGTGAGTGAAAAATTAGAATGAGAATAGGGGAATAAATAAAAAAGAAGAGTATCTAGGAGAGAGAGAGTGTGTGTGTGTGTTTGGGAGAGAGAGAGAGAGAGTTATGAAATAGCTGATCGATTAAATTCGATTACAAATGATTTTGATTTTAATATTGAATAAGACAAAAGTAACATAAAAACCAACTTAACTAAATAGTCAGTCAGTCAGCTACAGTGTAGGATCAGGCACATATATACATCGGTCCAAGTTGTCATACCTTTGTAGTGACCTGCTTATATCAAGAGAACGCGGTTGATTTAATGGAAACAATCATTATTATAACCAATTGTACCAGTGATTTTTTTACTGTGCTAAAGACAGCCATATTATTGCTCCATTATCTTTCGATTGTGACCTTGCACGGGTTCGGTTACGCTCGGTAACTATGTTTGTACTCCTTTGGCACGATCTTGGTATCCTTTCGATAACACGAGATCGCCAACAAATACATCTTGACTATAGCCATCAACTGCCTTCTGATATTTGGCTTACGAGGAATTTTATCGGTTAACTTGCACGTGGTCTTCTTGTAATGGTGTTCATAGTCATTCGCGACTCGACCCCACGCTACACCTTATTAGCACAATAAGATGAACACCGGAATCATAGAAGTAGTTAGTTCAGTGATGGTAATATATAAAACAAAGATTGTGTGTAAGGATAAAGTACAGAAAGAAAGAATTATTTGGTAGAGAGTAAGATATGAAGCCATTTTAATCTCATGGTGCAAGGGAAGATAGAGAGTGTATACCCCTAGGTCATAGTGATTGATTCTGAGCCATATCACCCGGAATCTCCAACCATATACTTTAATTACTAAGTTACCTCTCTATATACATTAGATACTTTCAAAATTAAATAAAATGATGTACGGTAATTTTAAAACATGAACTATACTGAATGGATATGTGTTCCTAAATACACAAGTCACTATGAAC